AATATTTCTTTCTCCTTATGGACGGATCATGATTGTATAGAAAATGACCCATATGAAATTTTTTAATTTGGCGATCATATTACTGTACAAAAAAGATTTTTTTTATTGGGATCTTATTGATAATATTGTAACTTTAAATTATTTTAAAAATTTTCATTTTCGTCGTCATCGTCATTATCATCATCATATGTGAAGAACTAACTTGAACATTACTTAATAAAAATTCATTCGTCTATAACAAGAAATGAAAATTTCGAAGGAAACTATAAGATAAAAAAATTACATCATTTTATTTTCTTTTTCATAAAAGAAGCATATTATTCCCATCATACTTTTCATTCCTCATACTTAAAATTGTGTTCAAATTTCAATCGACGACGTTCTATTTTTGCTAAACCTTTCGAACGCATTCTCACACATTTTTTTGCTCTTGACATGATTTGCATTAGTAGTGGTTTTCCATTATGGTTACGAACTAAACAATATTCGCGAAATATCGCTTGACCTACGGGTTCAAATTTCCGTGATGTTCATTTCTATAGACAAGTATTACCCCAGTGCTATAGCGTATTGATAAGAAATTAACTTTATGAGGTCGTTCCTTTAATACAGTGACTCTTAAGAACTGACTCCTGAATTCCTTACTCATTCAATACATTCAATGATACTTGGATTACAATTATCATTTAATTGGCATAACGATGGAACCGTACAGGCTGAACTCTTCGATTTCTGGCGGCATCCTTTGTATTGACTTAGGCTTGGATGCAGACGTTCCCTAGATTTGCCCATCCATCTTCTTAGAAGTGTTTGCGTTACACGAGAAAGTTTTCTTCAGTAGTTTGTCTCTTTTCTCTCGAGAAATCAACATACAGTAACTTATTAGCGCTTATTGTTGACATTAAATTTAGTTTTCTAACTTCTTTATATTCTACAGGTCCGAAAGTTCAGAGAAAGAGCATTCGACGCATTATACTTTACATCTAAGAAAATTTTATAGCATTGATCTATTCTCTGCAAAATTGAGTTTGTGAACTTACTGAACTTGTCAAATGACTTTCCAACAATACATATGAGCTGGTAATCCTTAAATATTTTAACCTAAATCTTATTGAGCCCTTTTCTTTCCTTGAGAACTTTTCAGATGGATAGTTTATGCAAGGACAGGTGAGTCAGTTACTTTCACGTAATTTTTCTTTGGGTTTATTTTAATTCGATCGCTTCAGCCGCAGTGTTAGAATAGAATATTTTAGATTATATTTAGCTATAAGAAACAAAATATTTAAATGATGTTGAT